ATAATAGAACAGTCTTAACGGAGTTTATAGAGCAATCAATTGTCTACAAAATGAGTTACAATATCAATACCAACAGAGTTAGCACCATTCATCAACAAAAAAGTAATTTAGCACTGTCTGTTATGACTTGAGCCTCTTGAAATTAGTCATACTGATTCATATTTTTCTGCTCATTCGATTCATGTGTAACTCGGACTTTTAAAACAGGGAGCAGAACAAGAAAAAATTAAAATATGATAAAACGCTACTGTTTCGCTTTTTTTCTGTTTTTTTTTTTTTGTATGCAATCGGTAACTCATTCATTTTTAGGCTCTAAGGTTTAAAAACTTAGGTTTATGGGTAACTCTGAACGCTTTATCTTATGAGATCATAAAAGATCGTTTGATTTTGAATTCTGTGAAGGATTCGTGGTCATATATTTAGAGTAGGACCGGCAGGTATGTTGGAACATCATTTGTATTGATGTATAATTAGCCATTTATAATAAAATTGTTTTTACATAGTTTGTGTAGAAATAGAAGAAAATCGGCTTTAGTAAAAAACGTTTTAGAAATTTTAGATATTTCAGGTTTTTTGCCCAAAAGTGAGGTAGTTTTCTGGTTTTCCCAAACATTTTCGGTATGTCAGGTTTTTCAGGTCAAATCTCATCCCTGAGAAAGAGGGCTTTGTGCTGTTTCAACATATTAAGTGTAACTGTATACTTGTAACATCATAGCAATGGAACAAAATTCCACTGATCTCTTATCGTATTTCATCAGGTTTCACAAGCGAGAGCTCAGCTGAAATCGGCCAGAATCAGTGTCTGTATGATGACTAATGAGAATGTCAATACAGCACAAGCAACAGCATTAACATGTGGTATTATTAAGAAGAATGATTCGGTTATAGTAATTGAGGGAGATGAATTCAATCGTCGCATTAGAAGCGGCCAAAGAGAAGATGTAATTGTCTGTAAAGCATCTGATTAGTAAGATTATTTCGTCTCTACATTTTCCCGGTAGATCAAAATTTATTTGATCAAGTTTGGCCAGTACTCCGAATATGGGCACGTGCATCACCAGAAGACCAATATCTGTTAGTACAACATATAACTACATCGAAAATAAATCGAACACGTGAAGTCGTAGCTGTGATAGGCAGTGCAACGAACGATGCGACGGCATTGAAAAACGCCGATGTCGGTTTTGCCATGATACGCTTACTAGCTCTATTTATTAACTTTGTCTAAAATTAGTGTCTGTCTTATTTACGGAATCGAAGGTACGGATGTGGCTAGAGAAGCATCGGACGTTATTTTTTTGGATGATAATTTCAATTCAATCGTCAACATTGTGATTTGGGAAAGAAATATTTCTGACTCTGTGGCGAAATTTCTTCAGCTTCAGTTGATGGTGAATGCGGTCGCCGTCTCTTATGTGCTTATTGGAGCATGTATTGTTCATGAATCGCCATTGAAACCGTTAAAATTAGTATGTGGAAACAGTACGACTCAAAGTCCTCTTTCTTCAACATGAAGTGACGTTTCATTAAGAACCATCCTCTAATACCATTAGGTAGTGAGTGTTACGTAATATCAGCGTTCGACCTGATAATTTTACCACACGCAGTTCTGTTATTGAGCCGGTTATAATTAAAATAATGCTTAATGAAAATGTTGTTTAATTTGAAGGTGTCGTTCTACTTAGTGCTATTTCATAGAGAATCAATGATAAAACTCACTTCTCAGTAACCATCGAATATTTTTTTGATAAATTGTCTATGACAATGTATCTTGATATAATGCTTACCAAAAGGAAATCTAGGAAAAAATTATTTTCTTCGGATGAAAAGTAGATTTTATCATCGAAAATTATGACCCATTTTTCACCATGGGCTATTCTGATCTCGAGCAGCTACCGCCAGAGTAAGATAAAATGTACTAGAAACACAAGAAAACGTTTTCCTAAAATTAACTGAGTT